GAGCTCTCTGCTATACGTCCACCCGTTCTGCCATCTTGTTTGTTCTCCAAGACATTATATTTTAAAAATAGAAGAGAAAGAAATTGGAAGAATAGTATGATAGTTGAAGTTCTGTGTCAGCTTGGCTGGGCCTGGATTCTCAGTGGTTTGGTAGTTTTGTTTTTTTTTTGTTAAGTGCCATCAAATCAGTTTTGACTCATAGCAACCTGATAGAACATTTCAGATGAATGGCTAGTGGATTTGAACAATCAGCCTGTGGTTAGCAGTCCAGTGCTTACTCTGTAATGCCACACCAGAACTCCATATTGATTCCCCAGTGATGAGATCTAATATAATTATTTCTATGCTGAGATCTGCTCTTCGCAGCCCATCAATTGATCTTATAAAGATAAAGGAGAAGTGAGCAGAGAAAGAGGGACACCACCAAGAAAGGAGCTCTGGTAATGTAGTGGTTACAAGTGGGGCTGCTAACCTCAAGGTCAGCACTTCAAAACTACCAGTGGTTCCATGGGAGAAAGATGAGACTTTCTGCTCTCATAAAGATTTACAGCCTCAGAAACCCTATACAGGGTTGCTATGAGTTGGAACCAACTCCACGGCACATGACCACCACCACCACTACCACCAAGAAAGAAGAGCTGGAAGTGGAGTGCATCTTTTGTACCTCGAGTCCTTGCACTGTGAGTCTCCTAGATCCAGGGAAAGACTGATGCCAAGACACATGGAGAACTCCAAGGAATGCAGGGTCTACAGATGTGGAAAGGAGACAAGGACCTTACTCCAGAGCCAGCGCTCTGATTTGACTTTGTAGCCTCTTAATCTGAAAGGAGAAATTTTTATTAGTTAAAGTTGTCCACTTGTGATATTTCTGTTACAGCAACACTGGATAACTAAGATAAGTAGATTTAAAAGCAGTATCTAAAGTGTGTTTGTTATAAGAAACTCATGTCAAACATTAGGACATAGGTTGAGAGTAGAAGGATAAAAAAGGTATTGCTGTTTTAGTGGCATAGAATCGGTTCTGACTTAATAGCAACCCTGTCTATACAGGTTTCCGAGGAGTCGCTGATGAGCTTGAAACACTGGACCTTGCAGTCCAGCTCATTAACCTGCAGTGCCACACCAGGACCTCCTGTAGCACCCAATTTTCCCAGGCAGTCTCGCATCCAAGTACTAACCAGGCCCAACCCTGCTTAGCTTTCAAAATCAGATGAGATCAGGTGCATTCAAGGTGGTATGGCCATAAAAAGTATATCAGTATATTAACATCAAAGTTTTAAAAAGAGAGAGTGACTACAGTAATAGCAGAGACTTAACTATTAGAGCAAGGAATAAAGGACCACTCCACCAAGCAGTCTTAGTAATACTAAATGTGTGTGCCAAACAACAGAGCTTCAAAGTATGAAAAACAAAGAGCCAAGAGACAAAATAGACAAATATACTATTATAATTAGTAACTTCTAAACCCCACTCTAAGCAATGGATTTAACTACTAGATGAAATATTAGTAAAGATATGAAAGCTTCAAACAACAGAATCTAACTGAAATTTTTAGAGCACTTCACCCAACAGCAGAAGAATAGATGTTAAAGAATTGAGACGATACAGAATATGCTCTTTCATTATAATGAAAACAAGTTAGAAATCAATGGTAGAAAGACCACAGGAAAATCTCTAAAACACATGGAAATTTCACAATGCACATCTAAATAATCCATGTTTGTTTACTTCAAAACATCATTTATCCATTTATGCTAATAGAATATATTATTCTATTAGAGTTATGCTAGATGTTATGCAGGATGTCAACGTTGAGGGAGGCTGGGTGAAGGATACATGGTAGCTCCTGTACATTTCTTTGCAGCTACCTTTGAATCTGTGGTGGTGGTTATGTGCCGTGGAATTGGTTCCAACTCATATCGACCCTGCATAGAGTTTCCAAGGCTGTAAATCTTTACAGGGGCAGAAGCCTCATCTTTCTCCCATGGAATGGCTGGTAATTTTGAACTGCTGACCTTGAAGGTAGCAGTCCAAATCGTAACCACTATGCTACCAGAGCTCCTATTTATATCTATAATCACTTCAAACTGAAAAGATTTTATTGTTTTATTCTTTCTTTCTGAAGCTTATTCCCTCTCCCAGTATAGGGCCCCATGTCCCCCCAAATTTCAGCTTATAATTGTTTCATTTCATCATGTTCCCTCTGCAAGATTGTTGGGAGAGATTTGAACTGAAGGGTCAGACTTGGGGGTGGAGGTAGGAGTTAATTTAACCGAAGAATTGGAACTGAACAGTTGTGGTCTGGAAAATCGGGCTGCTCCTAGGTCAAGCTGCCCCCCTGAGGGACTTACAGGGCTGTCTCTGGAGACAGGGAACTAGCAAGGCTTTTTCCTTGTATAACCTTCAATTCAAGTCTGCAAAAAACATCTAGCTGCTTTATCTCTCTATCTCCTTAACAACTACAAGTTAATATTCTTCTGATAAATTCCCACTTATTGAATGCATCAATAACAATAAATGTGTTTTGCATTCTTTTCCCTGCCTGCAGCACTTTTTTTTGCTACATGTATATAATAAACTCACAGCACTAGGTCTGAGTTACAGTATCTCCATCAGAGTGCTGTGTCCCACCTGGTCCAACTTTACTATTTTCATTTGTGTCTTGTGTCTTCCTTTTTATTTCTATTCTCCCATTGCCCCTGTTTACTTCTTGGCAGAGAATTGGGCCACAAGGGTGAGTTCCACTCCAGACTTGGGCCATAGTGACAGATTCCAAAAGTCTCTTTCTGACCAATAAGCCTGGTCTTTTATATATGTATAATTTTAAATTTTTCACATTTTCTGCCACTCTGTCTGGGATGTTCTAATGTGACCCTTTCAGAGGTTCGCATTATTTTGGCTATTTTTCTAATGGGTGAGATTGACTTTTGTATCAATTATATTGGTTGCTAATAGCATTTATTTATATGACTTGAATATATTTGTATAATCTCTTTGTAGTTGATGAGACTTTTTTTTTTTTGTCATTTGCCCTTTTACTTTTCTGTTTGGGGGTTGGGGAGATTTTTGTTTTTGCTTTTGGGTTTTTTGTTTGCTTTCGAATACTTTGACATTTTAAATTTTTCTGTAGTCAGACTTTGGTGTCTTTTGAATTTCATGCCATCATTTTTAAATCTTCTCCATGCTGAGGTGGAATTTTGATGCTTTCAAATTCAGGTATCTCCTTATTGAAACATAGAATACCCTCTCTTTAGTGGTAGTACTAGGTAGGTATAGTTTTAGGTAGCTGACTTTATTTCTGACTCTGGGTAACTGCTGTGTTTTATTGATCTCCTCAGCTTTGTTGGGAATCTGGGTCACTGTTAGACTAGATCAAGTTAACCTTATCCTTCATAAAATGGTGCTTTGCAAGGAAAGGAAATAAAGGTAGGACATTGAATAATCTGGGTCTTACCCCACTTCTCAACCTTTATTCGAAGAGAGAGACTTTGGTGACGTCTTTTTCTTATGTATGTTACAGCTAGTGATTGGGTGGCAGTGCCCCTTCTCTGGTCCCCAGGGAAAGGAAACTAAAGTTCAAGAGTCATTTTCCTCCATTAATCATTTGTGTAAACTCCACTTAGGTTGCTTCTCCACAGGGACACACTCCCTGATCCTTGGAATCTAAAGCTCTCCTGTACAGTGAGGAGAATTGGAGAGTCTTGTTCATTTCAGCAACAGAAGCCCTGTGGTTGTTTTCAGAATGAAATGCTAGTTAGTGGTGTGTCTCTGCTGTGTTTGCATTTTCTAAATGGGTGGGAAAAATATTTTCTGAGCATAATTTCTTCCCCTTTACCTTTTCGGGATAGCCAAGCAAGAAGAAGGTGGGCCTACTGTGTGTGTGACTGGAAATGACATCACTGCCCCTCCAAATAAGGAGCTTCCACCAAGCCCAGAGAAGAAAACAAAGGTAGGTTCCAGAATAGTGGGGCATCTTCTGTTGCTATAAGTTTTTAAGACATGTTATCTTCTGCTATTGCTTGAATCATGAATATTGAAATTTCTTTTTTCTGAGCTGTTATGTTTGTCAAATTTGGACGTGCTTAGAAAATATTTTGTACTCCCATTTTACCATAATATCCTAACCCAAACTTTACAATCTCTGCCTTTGGCCATGTTATCTTGAGTACCTGTAGAAATGTTCTGTAAAGATGGCTTTGGCTTCCCTTAACAACTAGAAAAAAAAAAAGGGTAATTGAAAAACTTTTCTGAAATACATTCTCTGAAATCCACAGTCATGAAAAGAGAAGGCAGACTTCAAGATGAATCATAGCTTGAGACACTTGTTGTTTATGCTTACTGCAAAGTTCAAGTGCCAGGGTTAAAACTCTGCCCCATTGAGGTACAAGTAATAATGCCTTAATCGCCTGTTGATAGGTGGGGTTTTTTAGTATTGGTTGTTGTTAGATTTATTGCAGCCGCCAAAATTGTGAACTTTTACAATTTAAATTGTTTAAAGCTATTACTGATTTTAAATCTTTAAGTGACAAATTCCAGGAACAGTGTCATTTAAGAAAATATTTCAAAATATCTTATCTGTATCTTGATTTAATTCTACCATTTATTGAACTCAGAAGAAAGAAATGTTAATTCTCACTTGCATCTATCCTCATTGCTTATATTTTTCTTTAATTGTGCAATTTATGCTTTTTGTTTTAATTTGTTTTTATTCTTGTCTATGTGTTTGATGTTGCCCTTTTAAAAATAAAACAAACAAAAAACAACAAATCAACCTAAAGCCTTTGGCCACTCAACCTGCAAAGACTTCAACAACGAAAGCCAAACCACAGTCCACTTCTAGCCCTAAGCGGCCAGCTCCCACCACCTTTGGGGGGCCGAATAAAAAACCCATTAGCCTTACTTCAGGCTCACTACCAGCTGCCCCACCCAAACGCCCTGCTGCTGCCACTGCCAGGTCTTCCACCTTACCTTCAAGAGACGGGAAGTCAAAGGTAAGTAGTCACCTAAGTACTGTTCTAGGGAAAACTTTTCCCCTCTATTAGATGGACAGGCTCTTGATGCTGGTGGAGTTGGGAAAAGGCAAGGATGATTTGAAATTAATCTGGGAACTCACTGATGCAGCCATCTATCACATAATGAAGCCCTTTTCTACCTTTTCACCATTCCCTGCCCTGCTTGGTGACAATATTCTATGTATTTCAGTTTTTCCTCCATTTTTCTAGCTTTTTCTGAACTCTTTACCTATTTAAGCACTTGTTAACTAGTTTCCCTTGCACCTTCTACTGGTGAGTTATTTGTTTTTAGAATAATTTCCATATCAAATTCAGTTCTGTGGCTTTCTCTTCATTCAGTCTGCACAAGTGAATTTTACCCATGGCTTTTGCTCTTCCTGTGTATCTCAGCAGGTTCCAGCATCATGTGATGATTTACTTTGATTTTGATATTAGACTGCCTCTCATTGAGTTCCTTTCGAAGTTTTGCAGGCCACTCACACTCTCTTGGTGCCTAGAAACTGGTCACACTTGGAGCAACATTAGCTTTACAGGATTCTTAAAGATGAAATGTTGGCTGAAGCTGTGGCTGCATTCCTCAGCGGCTATTCCAGCTTCATCATCTTGTTCTGTTTAAGAAGGGCCTTTCAGTTTGCCTAATGTTACTCTTTAAATTTATGGTGGGAAATAATTTCCCATGTTAAAATGTCAGTGTTTTAGTATTATCTTGTAGATAAAACTGATAGAACCTACGAATTCTAGTCTAGGTTGAAACCCTGCCCAAGAAACTGAGAGAGTCCATCATAGAATAGGAGTGAGAATATCATATAATAGGAATGAGAAAGTATAAAGCTTTCTCTGATCCTCATATGCCTGGTTTGCTTCTTTTTTTGATCTTTAGAAAATAATTTATTTGAATTAGAAGGCAATTTATTTGAATAAAGAAACCAAATAGAGCCACCAGCATATGAAGAATGCAGAAAGAAGGTGGCTAGAGCCACATCTATTGACAGTTTAACTTTTTAATAATAATGCAAATGGCATATAATATATTTGTTTATATTTACACACATTCATTCCTTTCATTCTGTCTCAGCAACCCATGGTAATGTAGATACTTATTGCTAATGCTGTTGAGTCAGTTCTGACTCATAGCAACCCTGTATTGGTCAGGCCTTCCCCATCTGCCTACCACTTGTCATTTTTATCTTGTCAGAGATTTCATATCCTCTGTTCTCTCACATTGCCGCGTCAGAACTAGTCCATAGTCCATCCTCTTTTGTCCACTGTGAGTGAGGGGCAGGCTTGGGGCAGGAGCACAGATTTCTGACTCTAGCCCATGTTCTCTTCATCTTCAGAGCCATACTATTCAGCATTCACTGGGAACATGTGGGCCCCCAAATGACTGAATTTGAGTGAAATTACTTTTTTTGTTACTTTTTTTTATGTTTATTATTTAATGCATTGACTCCATGGTAATATGGGTTTGGTTTGGATTTTTTATTTTGTTTTTTGTTTTATTAAATGCAGGTATCTTTGTCTGGACAAGTGATAAATGCATTAGATTTTATTTTGTTAAATACACTAGAAATTAATGTAACAGACCCTGAGACTGCAGTATAGTATACCTTTAATGGCTGTTCATTCTAAATAGTTCAGGTAGTTTGACTATTTCCTGATCCCTACATAGCATACTGTATGGTCAGTTTTTCTTTTTGTTTGGAGAACTTTGATCTTAGAAGCAACTATACAGTTCCCTGTCAGTAACTGCCCAGTCACTGTGCCCTTGTTCTTTCTGGTGCTTACCCATATGGCATGAATGTTGGGACTGAGGCTGTGGCTGTGGCTGAACCTAAGCTTGTACTCTCACATTTCTCTTACTAGCCTGGTACAGAGGCTAAGATTCCTGAGAAGCGAGCCTCACTATCCAAGCCAACTTCCGCCCTAACCCCCAGATCTGGCTCCAAGAGTACCCAGCCTGTTCTGAAAGCCCCAATATCTGCCACACCTGCCACGGCTGTGCCAAGCAGTAAGAGCCCCTCTATGCCTCTACCCAAGAGGCCCACTGGTGAGTATCAGCTATCCTTCCCTCCCTTGGGACTAGAGGGAAGGAACAACAGCTCTAGCCAGCATCAGACAGTTATGTGGGTCAGCTTGTAAACCAGCCATAGTGATGTACACTGGAAAGTGGTAGCCTTGTGAGTCTAGTCATTTAACAAGCCTAGAACCTCCATGTAAGTTTCATAGTTCTGTATGTTCAGAATACTCCTGAGTGAAGGGGACTCTCCTCAACTCCTGGTAGAAATTGCCATTCTTTTCTTTGTGACCCCATGATATGGTCATGGTATTGCATGATGTGAAGGAATTGACATTTCAGTTCTGCAAGCTTGTGCTGATGGAACCTACTTCTAAGGCCACATGGAAGGCATTATAAGGACCATGGAGAAGAGTAGATGTATACCTGGCCTTTCACAATCTGTAAGCTCCAAGTGTACACACAGCTGACCAGTTACTACTCTGTTCTAGGGACTAGCACAGTTCCTTGCTCACAGTCAGTATTCAGTAATAGTTGAGTGAATGAATGACTTAGTATTGGACGAGACATCCAGTAAATCAGTTTGCTAAAAGTGAAACTCTTTATGTAGCCATCAAGACTGAGGGAAAAGTCGCAGAGGTCAGAAAGGTGGCTATAAAGTCTGCACCAGGTAATAATATCCCACCCTCTGCTTTGTAGAACCCTAACTTAACTTTCCTTTTGCTCTGATCCCCTGAACCATTTGTTATCTCTTACTTCTACCTTTACAGCGGACTTGAATCGCTCAAAGAGCACCTCCACCACTTCTGTGAAGAAAAACACTACTTCCACAGGAGCAACACCCCTGACAGGAATGGCTCCCAACCGAGTCAAGCCCACACCTATGCCTCTCCGGCCCTTCGTGACACCTACCAAGGACAAGAAGCCTGTACCATCCAAACCAAATTCCTCTTCTCTCAGTGTGAGCCGCCCCGCTACCAGTGCTTCTATCCCCGACCTGAAGAATGTCCGCTCCAAGGTTGGCTCCACAGAAAACATCAAACATCAGCCTGGAGGAGGCCGGGTGGGTCCCAGGAGGTTGGGGCCCTTTGCATGCTGGCCCCTGCTTCTTTCTCTGCCATTTCCAACCCTGTTCTTCAGGCGTGTCCCAGTTAGCACACCAAACCACAGAGCCCACAAAAGAAGAAGAGAAGTCAGGACAGCTGATTCATGGTCTATGGAATTTTAGCCTGGGCTCCATAGTGGCCTTCATGTCCCAGCAACAGGGGAAGGATGGGCTAAACTCTAGGCTTTTTCTTTCCAGAGGGGTTTGGAGACAGAAAGATTGTTCTGTGTTTCAAAACAAACAGAGGAGGCACACTAGACATACAACCAGGAACCCAGTTTTCACAATTCTTATCCTGCACTGTGAATGTAAGATAGCCAGAAGGTGGAGGGGAGACCTCTTCACAAATCGTGAGTTAGGTAGACCAATGAAAAAGGACTAGGGCACCCTCTTGTGGCCAGCCTGAGTTGCAGCAAGCCTCTGACTTTCCTAAACAAAAGGATTACCTACAATTTGGTGATGGAGAAAATGGTGCAGACCATGGTGTTTCACTTTAAGATTTACTGGTTGTGTGTACCTGAGGATTGTTCACTTTTATCAGCCACAGGACTCACTGTGTGTAAAAGGTGGTGACTGAAGTCCATCCGAGAATGTTCAAGTACCTGGAGCCATGGCTATCTCATCTCTGACATCATTCTTTGAAGCTAAAACTATCCCTTCCTCACAACCTCATATCCCAAGGAAAATACTTAAATTGCTTTAATCTAGAGCAAGTAAAAAATCAAGGAGGGACCAAAATGAAGCAGGACCCTGTGACTGTTGGAAGAGAGTTGCTTTGGTTAAGAGACTGGTTCTGGCATACCCAGCCAGGCCTCTGGTGGCTGTAGTGTTGGTGACCTATGCCCCTCTTTCTCTGCTCGTTTTAAGTTTTCATGTTGCAAAAGTGGCAGGAGGTCTTGGTAGAAAGTTAAGTGGCTTGGCCTACCAGCATACCTGAGGAGTGCAGCATTTTCCATCACTAACAGTGGTTCCTGGTGACCGTAATAGCTTGCTTGGAACATTTTAGAATGTTTGCACAGGAAGCCAGTGTGAGTTGAAAATAATAACCTTCCGCTCACTTCCCCCTCAACACCTTACCCTCACCTCAGTGAAAACCACCAGCTTGATTTTCTCAGCCTTTTCTGTACCTTTTTTTCCATAAATGGCATCTTTGTCTCGACTTTACATCTAAGGACTTTGACCTGTGACTTCTCTCCAAGGCATTCTGGCTTAGTCCACACTAGGAAATGTGTGTTTCCCGACACACACCCCCTCCCCACCCCACCCCATCCCCCCGGAAGCTAAGGTGGCGTGCTGCAGCCTGCTGTCGTGATTGATATGGACTTGAGTCCCTGCAGCCTTCTTCCTATCTGGGCATTTGAGTTCTTAGCCACTTGGTTTGAATTTGCCCTCCCTTTATCTCCATCCAGGCCAAAGTAGAGAAAAAAACAGAGGCATCTGCTACAGCTCGAAAGCCCGAACCTAACGCAGTCACTAAAACAGCCGGCCCTATTGCGAATGCACAGAAACCACCTGCTGGGAAAGTGAGTCTTGTCTAGACTTTTACCTCTCCAAGGTGAAAGATAATAAAATATTCTTCCAGCTACTTTCCCTTTTCACACTTTCTTCCTATACTTAACTAGCTTCTACTCCTCAGTGTTTCCTCCTCTGTTTGATGACATCAGAAAAATTTTGTATCGGCCTCTGAATATTAACAGAGTCAGCTCTTGGGGAATACTTACTCAGCTGGATTAAATGACTCCAGAAACATTGTCACTTCCCTCATACTGACCTTCATCTGCAGCCCATCCCTCATCCATGTGAAGACATACATTGGCACATAGAACACCTGGGTTCTTCCTCAGTGAGACAGGGCAGTGGCAATGGTCTGGCACCTGACACTTGGAGCCCCTATGCTTCAAGTAGAGCGGGAAAGTTCCTCTAATAATCATATTACTGCTGGGCGTGGAAGTAGCCTCATCTGCCCTGGTTTCCAGAGTCACCTCTTATGTGAACCTCTTAAGGTGCTCATTCCCAATGGAAACCCACTCAGCATAGGTTTTCCAGTGTTGACTTGAAGACAGGTAAGCTGGAACTCCATACTCCACACCTGGAGCCAGGCCCCTCCTACTTGTTGTATGACACCTCCTTTGCTTAGCTGTAGTAGGGGGTGGGCAGGCCTCTTGCGGGGCGGGGGAGGGAGGATGCGAAATGGCATGTGTACTGTTGGGAAGGTGAGGAAGTTTGCACTGTCTTCTGGGTGACTACTAGAGGTACTACATTTCTCTTGTTCAGACCAGGGCTCATGTAAAGTGGTTTGCTAGCAAGTTCATCACTGAAATTGTAAAGAAAGCAAGAAACAAGGTTGTATGGGTTGGAGTTTCTGAGGGTGGATTTCTGTACTCCGTAGAAAGCCTTAGCCTGGGGGTGCAACATTTAGAAAGGGCTTTCAGTTCTGCAGCAAAAAAAGGGAGCTGTTAACAGTCCTTCCTAAGAAAGCCCAACAAGAAGTCTTTGTTCCAGATCCTTCCAGCCATAGCCTTTGTGTTAGTGTATTTCAGAGGGAGATGTGGCTCACAGTACAGTGTGTCTTTGACCCCCTCTTGATTATGCATCAGTGTAGTCCTCCCTGGAACCTGCTGCTCTCTCCTTATATGAAGCTCAGAGAGCATAGGACTCAGACTAGAAATGTTGTTTTAACCTTAGAATCAGAAGTGTAGACCTAAATCTCTGGGCTCTGTGTGGCAGTGTGGCAGCTGTCTGTGCTCCAGCTGGCATCAAGGGCTTGATATACATGCAAATGAGTTAAAGAGGCTGCTGATATGGTAGGTCCAGCAGCCTCTTTAACTCATTTGCATGTATACTTGAGTAATACCCCTTTCTGCCTGTTGCAAGTTGATCTGTGCCTCATTAGCCAGCTGCCCATTGATTCTTAGAGCAGCCTTTGTTTCCAAGAATGGGTCTGACTGACTGCAACAATTCTAGGTCCGAATGGTAAGGTAGGTGCCTTACTTGGGTAGGGACCCATCCAGATCAGTAGGACCCTTGCAGAGAAGAACCACTGGACACTGTTGTTCCCCCTCAACACCCAAGGAGCAGTGATGTGATGATGATCATGTAGTACTTGTATATCATCTGATTCTGTTATTGTGTTGTTTGTTCATGTTTTCACTCCCTTTCTTCTTCAAATTCCTTCTTCTATATGTTTCCACACTTGCTCTACTGAAGTTGGGGGTGAAGTTTTAACAACAGTCTTTGTTGGTCATTGTGGTCATGTGTGGACTCACTGCCTACCCTGTGTCGGTTCTAACTAGCCCTCTCCCCTGTGTTGTTTTTTTCTGTTCTCTAACACTCCAGGTCCAGATAGTCTCCAAAAAAATGAACTACAGCCATATTCAGTCCAAGTGTGGTTCCAAGGACAATATTAAGCATGTCCCTGGAGGTGGTAATGTAAGTATGAGCTCTGGATGGCTTGTGTCTGAGGCACAGCCCACTGCGCAGGGTATGCTGGGGAGAGGGCTGCCTGCCCCTGCAGATGTGATTGCAGTGATCTGGGCTAGGGCTTTGCCCAAGAAACAGTGTAGGGAATTGAGGGGAGACTTCAACACGCAAATGTTTTTATACTCCATGTTTCTGGTGAGCAGCCTGAAAATAACAACAAGCTGTTGCTACCCACTGGTATCTTCTAACCCCTGTGGGTGAGAGGCTTTAGGTTCTCCAGCTACATCAGAGATCTGCTCTATGGGCAGTGATCAACAGCAGGCTTGTGACTCAACTCAAGTCCACTCAGGAATTTAGGTAGGCCCATTGCTAAGGCTACAGCTGCAGGCAAAGAGGTGCCTGGCAGGGTGTCTCCAGCCCCCGCAGCTCCCAAAGCGGTCCCTCCACCTCCCATGTGGCACCAGTGGTAGTCCCTACTCAGAAGCAGAAGTTCAGATTTGTCCAAAGCCTGTTTTTTGAACCGATTTTGCTATGTTGTTGTTGTTGTTATGTGCTGTGATGTTGGTTCCGACTCATACCAGTCCTGGACAGGGTTCCCAAGGCTGTACATCTTTACAGGAGCAGAAAGCATCACCTTTCTCCCGCAGAACAGCTGGTAGTTTCGAACTGCTGACTTTGCAATTCGCAGCCTGATTCGTAACCACTATGTTACCAGAGCTCTTTCTGTTGCTCTAGAATCAGAGAATTAACATTTTCCCTAGCTACCCTTCCTCTGGAGTCCTGGTGTGGCACTGTGGGTTAATGTGCTGGACTGCAAAGTCAGTTTGATCCACAAGGGCAGTTCAAGCTCACCAGGTGCTCCTCGGAAACGCTATACAGGGTCGCTATTGGTTGGAACTGACTTCATGGCACTTAACAATAATCACAACAAAAACCCGTCCTGTGCTTTTTTTCTTCTTCTTAATCTTTTTTCACCCTTTCCACTTTCCTATTTTCTCTTTACCTTGTCCTGTTTTCCTTTCTACTTCTCCACCCCACCCCATGTTTCCCAGTCCCTACTCTCTTTCGCTCCCTTTTCTCTACTTTTCTTTCTGTTCCCTTCCCTCTTCCACGTAACTGTCTTTTGATCATGCTTCTCTTCTGTGTTGACCCTAAAGTCTGTGTTGGAGACACAGAAGTGACTATCGCTCACAGACAGGCCGTGGACTAGGAAGGGACAGGGCAATGTGTCATTGTCATTAAAACACTTGGTGGCATTTCCACTTGGCTTGTCCCTATGACAGTGCCCAGTCTCTGCAGTGTTATGCCAGCAGCATATGTGGAGCTGTCCATGTGAAGCCTCTGCCTTCCCTTCCCCCTGGTTCCTTTTACTCACTGTTCAGAGCTGGACTAAGTCCTGCTGTGCTCATTATTTTCATGCACATCCTTAGCCCCAAGCAGTTGTTATGCAAGCCTTTTTCGGTCCTACTCAAATTCTCTTACTGCACCCCCTCCTCAGCATTCCCTCACCAACAGTTCTTCTTACATGAGCTGACACTGCTACCCCTTTGTACTCAGGTGCTCCAGGAACAGCAGGTGTGGGCTTGGACAGTTTAGTAGTTGACCAAATATTAGCCAGCCTGCTAGAGAAGCAGATGAGGTGAGCAGAGCTATTAAAAGCAGTCGTATCTGAGGTGTTTCAAGGTCTAGCAAAGGAAGGGCCCACGTAGACACTGGCCGTAGCTTTTTCTTTCAGGATTTTGGCATGGGTGGAAACAAAGTGAGCAGGGGCTTCTGTTTCAACGCATTTTCTAAGAGTTCATGAAACAACAGAACATTAAGAAACCACTAGAGACCAGTGTTTCCAGGTGTGAAGAGGAGAGTAAAGAGCAGCAGCCAAAGCCTGGACTGAAGTACTTTAGTTCCTTCCATACCCCCTTCGTCACGCTATGATGAGAAACACGCAGTTTTTTAAATAGGTGGTGTGCTGTGCACACAGAACAACGCTGTACTTTGGAGGGCCATCCTTTCCCTCCCCATACTCCATACACACATTCACCCCTTGGTGATGGGAAAAACAGCAGAGGCAGGAAGAAAGTGACATGTTAGTTCAGCCAACAGTGACTACTTCTGTGGCTGGGCCCAGTTTTAACTTTCATGGCAGTTTTTATTCCATTTCACTGTTGTGAGGAGGATATGTGTGTGTGATATGTTCTAAGACCAGATTGCAGTGTCAACTCACCAAGCATTAGACCTATAGGTCATCACAGACCAGTGGGGAGATTCAGACAAGCATACAACTAAAGCGGGAAACAGTTGGTGCCATGGTTGGTTATGGGTACACGTGGGGAAGCAGGGGCTTCTGTACGTCATCAGGCTTTACCATGGAGGGGGCATTGATTTTTTTTTAAAGTTTTTATTGTGAATTGAGTGATAGTTATCATGGAGGAACATCATTTTGTTTCATTGCAGTGAATCATTGCATTACAATCCCCTGCATGCTTCATCATTGAACAGTATTGCTTCTGTTCCATCTGTTTTTGCTTTGTTTTTTTAGATGTGCACCAAAACACACAGGAATAAACAATCATTCAGATAGCCGGAGGACACACCCTGTTCCCCGGCCACCAGTACACATCCCCTCTCCCTCCATGAGTCTGCTCTATCTCTCCATGTCTTCATCTCTGCCTCCATCTCTGGCATTGCCGCTTCTCTAGGTAAGGTCCCACACTTAGCTCCCGATCCTCTCTCTTAACGGTCCCAGGGTCCTCCACTCCGGGACTTGCCACAAAACTTCTACTTGTGACAATCACAATTTGTCAGGATAACAGTTACTCCCTATTGAATAATGAGAGTCTTGTCCCCATCTCATTTTACCAGACCTGTCTGTTGTTGTTGTTGGGTGCCATCGAGTCGGCACTGACTCATAGCGACCCTTTGCATAGCAGAACGAAACACTGCCCAATCCTGGGCCAACCTCACTACCATTGCCACACTTGAGTCC